TCGGTCAATGCTTCATATTTTCCACACATCAATAATCGCGTTTCTTATTTACCTTCGTATTGAGACGCTACAAAAATCCGATTTTGTATTTGGTAGAAACAAAATAGAAAAAACAACAAGTTGACTTTTATTTTCTGTAAATGCACTTTAATACTTTCTCCGCGCCACGAATATTTCTGTTGCGTTTTCCATATAACCGAATGTATTTTTTCATTGTATAACTCACTTGCACACCTTTTTCCACAAGACATTTCATTTAAAATCTTATCCGAACAAAACTTGACCGGGCCTAGGTTTTCCGTGTCAAACTATCCTGAGCCATGGCTAAGGTTCCGGCAACCTAGACCGTGCTTTAGCTAGTATGTGTGATATGAAAAGGGCCTATAACGGGTCGTATGGCACATTATAGTAGGTAATGGTTCCAATGACCTATTGCAGATAAAGTGGCTTTTGTTAGACTCACAGCAGTGAAAAGCGGTTAACATTGCAAGTTTTCCACTGTCTTGAGACGCACTTTATATTTCAGTGCTGCCCCTAAATATCCAAACGATACATAACTAGTGATGGCGCTAGCCTGAAAATAATGAAATGGACACAAATAAAGGGCCTTCCAAGCCACGCCCTACAAGCATTAGTTAAAGCTATGTGGAGTGTATCGTTTTTTCTTCAATTCAAGATAAGGCAATACAACTGCACATTGATTTCAGATCTTAGTTGTAAAGAGAAGAAGCCGAAACGAGAGTAGTTGTGTTAACAAGAAATGAAGAAGGAATGGATATAAATTGCTCTCACTTTAGAAACTTTGATGCAGTAATGATTGTATTATTCCACGTCGTCTAGTAAATAGACAAAATGACCCTCGATTTAATTCAAATACAGGCAGAATGAAAAAGCCAGCTATTAAATCTCTATCGATACGTCAAATCAACTTAAGGCCTCATTTTGAAAAAACTTCTTCAATTCTTTTGTAAACATTTTTTTACCGCAGATTCGGATTGAGAGCATGGATTTCATGACGACATAAAGATAAAAATTTTATAAGGGATCTTACCGTGTTTGATGACTAGAGAGGTTAAGTTTCCTCCGGAATGATTTTTGCAGTCAAATTCCTAATTCCTTACAGATTTTCAAACCTCATTTCTCCGGAAAATCTAAAATACAAGCACAAACAATGCGAAAAATTGTATCCAGCCTAAAATTATGGAGATACTATCAAACCTGAGCTTAATACCGATCTACCAAAAAAGTCGTATACTGAAGTTTGGAGAAGCTTCCAAAGAGAGGCCGTAAGTCGAATCGGTTGGTGTATTTGCTCTGTCGTTGCAGATTACACTGATTTCTTTTATAAGATACAGGCTGTAAGAAACGAGTGCTGGACAGTCAGAAAAAATTAAGAAACTTCAGTACTCGAAGCAAAAAAATTAAGAAACTATTAAATCATGATAAAACTGAGAACAACGAAATTTTGTAAAATCCAAGAACAAGATTGCCCTGTTGGCCTAGAATTTGAGAAACAAGGGATAAAAAATATACTTCCCACAACTAAATACAGCATCGGAACGGAAGCGAATCTCTTGATGTGATAAAAAAGGTCACGAACAATTCATAACATCATTCATGACATCATAATTTAGAAACTCTTAAGAAACAGCGAGCATTGAAATTTCCAGAACATTAAGAAACTGGTGTACTCAACATCGGCCTTGGTTTCTAAAAAAAAATGAGTGTAATTGTTGATAGACATGTATTCCTAGGGAACCTCGCCTGACGACAAACTACAAATTAGGAAAGTTTCGGTCATTCACTTCGCAGGGTCCCCGACGAGGAAGTGAATGGGGCTTCTTGGGTATGACACCAAACACTTTGGAAAACATAGAGCTATGTTGCTTAATCTTCTGCTTTTAGTTTCCAAAGTTTCCAAAGTTTTTGAACATACTTCTGGTTTAGATTTCCAAGATGGTACTTTATTCTTTGGATTAGATTTGCCAAATTCGAAAACATGCAATTTCATTTATATGTCTGATAAAGTTAAATACTCTTTTCATTAGTTTAAAAGAACTAGAACAAAAAGAGGAAAGAAAGAGAAGATTTGCAAAAATTGTCTAGTTCAACAATGCTAATAAGCACTGTATTTGCATTCGGATTTTCCCTACATGCAAAATTTATTGCACATCCATGGCGGCCATCTTTAGAGCCTGAAAGACAGCTTGGCAAGTTGGTTGATGGCGGAAGGACAGATGAATTACAATTATCTTTTGATAACTCAAACCCTCGAAAACTCGAACAATGGCTAAATTGAACTGATATGCGTTCCCTTGCGAAATACATTGATGCAGAAATACCCCTGATAACTCGAACATTCGCTATGTTGAGCCATTTCAATGTTTCCCTTGGGAGGTTCGAGTTATGGGTAGCTTACTGTAGAACCAAAATGGTTCGACCGAGTGATGCCAGCTGATATCAAAGATCTGTTTTTCAATTTGGAGATTGAAGAGTTTTGGAGAGGGTTGTGATTAAAGCACCGATAAAGATAAGGTAGTTGTTTAGTAGATAGCCCTGGATGATGACGTCACGGCATACCAAAACTGCTGTTTTGTACATTTTTCAAAATTGGATTTATTGTGTGAGATTTGAGATTCTTTTGAATTTGAGAGCCGATAAATTTAGGCTCAAGCTGGGTAATATTTCCCTGCCATTAAAAATTGACCCTGCCATTAAAGAAAAGCCTCCAGAAATTTTTATGCAGATATTTTGCCATAATCAGCGTTTACGTTACAAGCAATGTCCTTAATGAAAGTTCTTTGACAGGTCATGCTAATTATATAAAAGCCTTTGTAAGGCTTATTCAAAAGTATTTTGTCGTATCTTAGCCTCAGCTTGTTTTTTAATGCTTAAAATATTCACGGCCGTGTTCATCTAAAATTGTTCTTATGAAGAAAGAGTGAAGTTTTCTTAAGTCAATCTTGTTTATGATTCTTAGCACACGCTGCTTAATCGCCTATTTCACTCGTGAACCCAGCAGATCGGATGGCAGCAGATTTTTGGAGCATTAACAATTTCTTTGATTTTGTTGGCAAGGATGTTTTAGTATTCACACCGTTTTGGACTTAGAACTAAACCACTAGATTAAGTTCTTACCGCAAACCATGAGCGGATTGTGCAATATCGTTATAGTTGATGCTCATCTTCTCATACAGCATTCAGTATGTTGACACGGGAAACATGTTTGGGGTCATAAAATCCTATCCTTTTAATTTTCTTGATCAAGCTCCATGTTAAAATGGAAATGCTTTGATGAAAGTTCTTTTGCTTTGTCTGTTAGAGAAAATTCTCATCTGCAGCGAATTCAAGCTCATAAACTTATTAGGTTTTCTCTCTGTCTCTCTCCACTTTTCTAACATTTAAAATTAATTTAAAAAATTCCTCTTTATAAAGTAGGACATTATCTAATTTGTTGAATAATATTAACAGTTTATGTAAGCTTAATCTTCCTCTATCAGTTCTTACGTTTTCTTCACCTAAGTTAAATCAATTGCTACTTTCTACTTGTCCTTAAATTTGAAAAACTTAGCGGCTATTTTTCTTATAAAACTGTACTCATAACAGAAAATAGAGTGTCTTTGATCCAGTCGTGAAGCAACACTGAAAAAGAAATGGTGCGATTGCCATTGATATTTCGATAGAGATATTTTATTGGTAAGATGTCTCTCAGAGACAATTCTCATACCATTTGCAGTTGCACTCGTATAAACAATAAATTTTTGTCAAATTAAGAGATTGCGGAACTCATTTGAGATTTGACAATATGCCAACTGCTTGTGCAAGGACTTCAGAATTTCAACATCATGTCTTGCAATCTTCCGAAAAGGATCTCAATTCAGGGATCAAATATGACGAAATATTCATTCCAAATGCAACTTTGACTTAATAAAGGATGTCTCTGCTTGCAAACCCACCTGACATAAAGTAATCTAGAAGAAAGTAATTCAAATGAATTTTTAGGCTATGTTTGTTTTATTGTTAAACGCTGATCTGTTAGCTACATAAACATGAGTTCATACGGAATAGCAGACACGTGGCTTATGCCTGTTTCATCCGCGTGGTGTAGGTACATACACTTCCTAACGAGCCAGTTGTGTTTCAAGTAGATTATAAAGATGTCAAAGCCCCTCAAAGCCCAAAATACACCCTTTTTTATGAAGATAAATTTGTTAAGAATATTAGGTCTAAAATTTCGTCACGTGGTTGGGCAATCAGGGCAAGAGTTACTTTTCATAACGGAAATGTTTGAGAAACATTCAATGTGCTTGTTTGCTTTGTTTCCTACAACTTTAAATGATAAAGAAGAAAAGTAGCAAATATCTGAACTTTTTCTTTGATTCGTATGAAAATTCACACATTATGTTGCTTGGGAATGACTCAAAAGTAATATTGGGCCCAGGTTTAGAAAATTTAAGAGCATGAAGACACATAAATAATTTGCATTTTTATTCATCCTTATAAAAAAGTTCACCTTTTTGCATTCTATCTTTGACTTGATTGAAATTGATTGTTGATCATTTATGCACTCTTCAAGAAGGACGTTTACTTCAATATTTATCACTAAAACGTGTTATTGACAGTTTTAGGTCAGTTTTGATATGAAAGCTGGAGCACTATTCAACGTCGCGTTAATCAACGCACAATGAGAACCAAAACACCAAAAACCTTGCTGATAATTGATTCGGCATTTGCTGTTCACACTTTAGAGTCTAGAGGAAATGTTAATAAAATACCAAAGTCTCTGTTTACTATAATACGACTAAATGCTGCAAATTTATTTGTCTTATTTGCTAAAGAAATCAGCAAATCTGAGACGATTCGGTAATTAGTTAGATCTCATTACTTCAATCGTGTAGGAGCGTGATTATTGGGCTGTTCTGAGCCAACGCAACTGCCCATCACGGAAACAAAACATTTATTTAAATATTTGCATCCGGCAACTCACCCACTGGCTTGCTCGTTTTTAATTTGCATAAATAGGAGATTGCTCTTTAAGATGAGGCATTTAGAATTCAGATAAAACACAAGCGTGAGAGTTTGCGGACAATAGTCAAGAAGTTGCATACGGTGGAAAAAAGCATTTGAAGGTTTAATTATTGAAAGAAACGGTAAGAAATTCGTCTAATTTAGCAAAAGGTTTTCCATGATTGTACAGCAATCAATTTTTGCCTTTAGTTTCTTCAAACCACAGAAATCGTTTTGCGTCATTGGAAAGCGTTAGCTGTAAGCAAAACATTATACTGGAAACATTGTTCTCAGAGATGTAAAAGCAAAGAAAAAGACTTCAATTATTTAGTTTTTTTTTTTCAAAAAGGTTGGAGCAGCTGAATCATTTCAATCAGAGGATTTATAATGGAATTCTGTATCAGTGTGGTTTATGTTCTAATTTTATAACCTTAAATATCTTAATTTTTTTCTAACTCTTTTGTTAAAACATTAATAAGTCATAAAAGCCATTGTTTTTGTTTTTGTCTTTGTTGAAATTGTCAAAGTTTACAATCACCCTAGCAACCAGTTTATAACAATTGGGTAAAAACACTTCTACTTATTTCATATTTATGACAGAGTTTCGACTTGTTATTGAGTAAGAACAAGCTGCAGGTACCGTACAGGTATGAAATAACCTTAGAACAATCTGTATTGCTACTCAGGCCAATCATATTGGAGCTTTTCATTAATCACGATGAACAAATCAACGAGACATGTATTAAAAAGAATCTGAAAATTCTAATGTCAATTTTTATAAAGGTTTTGGATCACACCAATCCTTGCTCATAGTATCTGCACTGCATGTATTCCAATTTTCTCCTCTAAATTAATTTACAACATTAGCTCTGATCACCGCATATTTTCTTTTCTTATCTTTCAGGATAACAAAATGGTTTCAAAGCGGATGCTTCTAGTGTTGATCACGTGTATGTTTGCAATCTCATCATATACCGATGCGTTTATTTCTATTGGTGGATTACCGTACCCAGGGCCTACCATTGGCCCGTACTCTGTAAGTACTCGATGGCTATTCACTGTTGAAAATCCGATACTAATGCACAGTGTTGGCACGGCTAGCATTTCCTGTCTTGACAGCATTCTGATATAATTGTGATACGTACACACTTTTCATAAACTCACTTAGGTGCTTTATTTACATTAGCCAAATTTTAAACATTTTCAAGCACATAAACAGTTGAAAATACACCTGAAATCACGACTTTTTGTTTATCTATCGCAATTGCAAAGTTTTAAAAATGTAGCTTTGCAAAAAACAACAATGACATAGGACTAAAATGTAAATGATATTATCAATAATCGCTTATGTTAATCTATACATTATTTTCAATACAATACACTGGTCAAAAAAGCACGTTTCTCTATATAGTAAACTTAATGTGTCTCGTAGAGCAGTGCAATTGGGTTGATAATGGCAAAATTTTCAAAAAATTATCATGATACTCCTGAAATGTATGTTCCATTTTCTGGTGGCTTATTAGAAATATTACTGTGAGAAGGAAGGAAAATTGTACATTAGAGCAACTTTGCAAATGTGTAGGGGTGTAAAAAACAAGAGTTTAAGGGGGGGGTGGTAGCAGGGAGACAGAGGACTTCAAAGGGTGTTAATCCAACATAAGTTCCCATTTTAAGCTTCAAATCACCGTTGGCTCTATTTAAAAACCTGTATCCATGAAAAATGATACTTTTTTTAGAATATAGCTTGTTTTCAATCTCTTATTTTCTTTTCGTTACCGCTTTTTCTAGGTATCTTTCAAATTCCAAGTTTTCAAATATATAACCTTAAGAAATATCATAGAGTTGAAGAAAATAAGACCACATGATTTATCTCTACAAGCCTGTTTCGTGAGTAACTCACTCTTCAGGAGATGTCTGACGAAATGAAATGACGAAGAGATGTCAGGCTTGTGGAGATGAATCATAAAGTCTTATTTTCTTCAACTCTATGATATATCACGCTCTACGTGTATACGTATTGAGCACTGTGCTACGGAAGTATCAAAAGACGAATTTCTAACCTTGAGAAATATGTTTGTCTTTTTCAGACATCGATGAAAGAAATATGCAAAGTATTGGATGCCAAATGTCTTCGACTTTGTGCGTCTCTGGATCTGAATTATTGGAATTGTTACCGGCTTCACAAAGAAGCGAGCAAGGCTAGAAAAGAGCAAGATGTTCTGGAACTTGATTACTGATGTTCTGATGAATTATTTAAGACTCTTGCAAAAGCATTGTACGTTCAATCTTATTCTAGATAAAAATTTACTCTCCTTCTTGGTGATTGTAAATTGTTCCTCTGGAATTTCTAGAATAACGGATACATATTAACGCATTGAGAAAATATGTTTAAATGTATTAATTCTTTAAGTAGGTAAATCAAACTATTTCTTGTTGCTTTCTGTAATCGAATATTCTGATGAAGCCAAACACCAGTGATGAAAATTGACACCAAGTCAATTTTTAAAGAATTTAGCTTTATTTTGAGGCAGCTACCAAAGTAGTACCAAACTAAGAAGAAAAGTTTTTTGAAATCCTGAGACTAAAATTGCTATTATGACACACAAGCCTTGCTGTTGGCTTTTCTGAAACATCCATTACTTCTTTTAAAATGTTCCAGAATGGCCTGGTTCTTTGGATACCATTGCTGGATGGAAGAGTAAATCACGAATAAAAATAATTTCACAATTTTAGAGGTACGAGCTGACGCTCTTGAACAACGGAGTAACACACTAAAGAGATGGAAATCTCACATAAAAACATATAGAGGCGTACTTAACGGAAATGAATGGAAAAATCTAAGGCCTGGTTCAAACAGTGTATTGATCATGTGCCGTATTAAATGGGGTTTTTGATTCGAATAAAATAGAAAATGCGGCAGTTGATTCAAACGCCGTATTAAAAACAAACCGTTCTTATTTGGTTGCTATTGCTTTACCATCAAAATTGTGTTAATGAAGCATTTTGGAGTGAGAAACTCAACTAAAATGGCGAAAATGAGCAAATTGAAAATCAGCACTGCTAAAAAATTCAACGACCGAACTAGGAGAAGACAAAGAACTTTAGCTATACTACAAAAATTGCCACATTAAGAAGAGGATTTGTTTTCAGGCCCTGTCCATCTATCCCTGCTTCTAATAATTTGTAATCGAAAGATGTTACATCGCCTGCATCACAAGGTCATCTCACAAGCTTAACCAGAACGAAGGCTGGTTCTTCAGCAACTGCATCCCGAGCATACTGGAGCTCCGAAAAGCGGCCGTTCTTGAGTCATCGATGGCGGGCAGTTCGCCTTCGCATTCACCAAAAGACTGAAATATTTTAACAAGTTTGATGATTTATGCATTTAGTTCGGCACAAGGAAAATGCAGCGTCTGAATTAGAACGGTACTTATGTCGAGTAATACGGCAGACCGTGTCAAACTAAATAGTTGCGTCAAGTAAAATGAAAAGGGCTGTACCAAATTGATTCAGAGGTCGTATTTATCATATACTAAATTGAGTCTATATTTAATACGGCACATGAAAAATACGCCATCTGAACCAGGCCTAAGTCGTAATTTCAATGCTTATTCAAATAAGAGAATAATATAAAATAACGCTAATGCCGAGAATATAAGGTAAAGGCTCTTTAAGTAAGGGCTTCATAAAATTTTAGTACAGAATCAAAATTGCCCATCGTCAGTCGGACACTGCGTACCCTTCACCCTATCAAAGTATCTGCCAATTTACATTCCTGCATATAGGCCAGTTGAAATAACACACATATATCGAAGGCAGAAACAAGGTTCTTTCTCCACTCATTTCATAAGGTCGACTCCTTTATCAATAATTCCTTTAGAACAATGGCAGGCTACTAGGCTATGATTTGGTCTTCATTTAGCTAATTATGGTCGACTCAACTTTTTTGGCTGACAATTATTGGAAGCAACTTAATAAACAAAAGGAATTCAGTAAGAACACATCCAAACACAGTTACAAAAGTTGTTTTGCGGAGTCTAATCGTGTTGCAGTCGCAAGAGTTTTCAAGGAAAGAGAAAAAGAAAAGGGGAAAACAGGGGCAAGGAAAGGGGGACGCGATGTTCTGCACCTCTAGTAACTGTATGGTTGGACATACATTTTTGCCTTCCTTTATATTCCGTCGCTGGTGCCTTTGTAAGAGCTGTGTTGCAGCCGCACAAATTCATTCAGCAGTCTTGAATTCAAGCAAAAAAGGTTTAAAATCACGTAATAGGCACACCAAATCATTGAATTCAATAAAAATGCAAGGGTATAAAAAGGCAATAAAACACATGGTGAAGAAACACTACAGACCCCAAAGGACCACAAATGGACGCGTTCTGACATCGAGGTCGAAATGGCGGTAAACTTTAAAAATGCTCTTGCTTCCCAGATCAAACCTGAAGATAACTTCACACCTAAACCATCCTTCAATACCGTGAGTAAAATTGAAATTTCGTATACTATTTTATGGTTGTAATTACGCTTTGATGGCAAGGTGCTTGTCTGTCTTAGTCCCTGTAAAAGTATTTGTATTTGAAAATGGCTTTGAAAAAAGCAAACATTTTACAACATACTTAAAGCTTTTTCGTCTGACACTCCTCAGAGCATAAAACGTCAGAATAGGTTCCGAAAAAACACGATGGAAAAATATATACTCAGTTGTGGATCGAAATAGGCCAATCAGAAAAACGCAAGCACAAGACCGGTATAGTTGACCAATCAGTGCCGCGAGCCTAAAGAAAAATTACCAATGGAGTCCAAGAGAGAAAACGAACTCCTTTTGTCTACACAATGGCGGCTTTTTCGTTTTTATGTAGATTGACTCCAAAATAGATGGAAGGACGACCGGGCTCTGCCAATTATCCGAAACATGAAAACGAAAAAGCCGCCATTGTGTAGACAAAAGGAGTTCGTTTTCTCTCTTAGACTCCATTGGTAATTTTTCTTTAGGCTCGCGGCACTGATTGGTCAACTATACCGGTCTTGTGCTTGCGTTTTTCTGATTGGCCTATTTCGATCCACAACTGGGTATATATTTTTCCATCGTGTTTTTTCAGAACCTATTCTGACGTTTTATGCTCTGAGGAGTGTCAGACGAAAAAGCTTTAAGTATGTTGTAAAATGTTTGCTTTTTTCAAAGCCATTTTCAAATTCTGTACCGCAAAAAAATTGTTCATATTTGTATTTGTGTGATAGCGGTCACCTGCATAGGCCTCCATTCCAGTCATCAATTTTTTGGGAAGCATTGAATTTTATGTCCTTTATTGTCCCTAAAAGCGTAAACGTCGTGAAAAGCAACAGAAAAATTATTTTCCTTCTTTCATGAATTTGGTTGTTGTCCACTTCACAGTTTTTATGTCACCAAACTACTTTTACTATCGAGAAAACTTTTTGATTTCTTACAATTGCCGTGTGGCTGACGCATCTTATTCCCATTTTGAACATGGTGGTACAGTAATTTTTTATAGGGTATGGATGGTTCATGTCACTGTTTTCTTTTGGGGATTTCAAATCTTGCCAAAATATTTTACTTAGGGCTATGGCTTGAGAAAATTGTGATAAAGCTCTCTATTATTCTTTTTTGCTTAAATGCCATCTCCCTATTTATAATCAATATCATTTTATTTAAAATTTTTTCTCTTTTAAAATGTGACCAGATATTTGCATGTCTAAGCATGTCAGAGTGATTGCCCCCAACCAGATCCACTGAGAAGATTGCAAAGGGGTGAATCTCCTGCAGTGGCAGAAACCTGGGGGGAAGAGGGGGCAGTTGCCCCCCAATATTTTGGAAGACAATGCCATTTTGTTTTACAACAATGGGATAATGTGCTGTTATCTTATCAAAACAATAGGCTTGCCCCCAAAATATTTGCCAAGTGTCCACCCCTGATTTCCTTGGGCCTGAAACCACCAAGAGGTTCATCTCTTTTGAACTAAGCCAGGAAGTATTGTGTGGCATGGCAAGGAAAATACCTGTATTCTATTATAGCATATATAAATAATAGCATATATATTATAGCATATATATAAAAAATGTTGTTTGCTTCTCTGGATATGTTAAAAAGTTTTTTTAAAAAAAGGATCTGTTGTGTAGGCTGGGCCTTATTCCAACTATGATTAAAATAAAGAAACCCCTTACTGGTTTAGCTCTGCTATTTTTTGACAAGCTGACCAAACACCATTCCAGCTCAGAGTATTGATGCACTTTTTATTGATTCACTTTTTTCATTGCTCTGTCAATATGTTTCAATAAAACCATCTATTTCTATAAAACCATAATAATGCTAACATCACAGCTGTAGATAACTGAACTCAGGCCTGAACTTCACCACAAGTAAGTTTTTTTGGAGTTAAGATGCCTGATCTTGCTCAGTTTCAACAACTTCCAAGTTTCTTGCTTGACGTAAACCAAAAAAATTGCCATGCACAACTTGGCCTGGAATGTTACTTCCATCGTAAAGCCAAAGTGTCTTCCCGCCACAAAACTGTGCCCAATAAAAATAAAGAAACTGACTCCTGAATCAATTTTTGCCTACAATCTATTCCAACCATTTTAAACGAGGTAGGATATCTCTTTTGTCAAGCTAAAATTGGCAGGATATCTCTACTAAAACTAAAACATGTCAATTTTTGGTAATGTTTGGTTGCTTCAAATTCTTTGTTTATATTTGGTTGTTTTTTTTAACCAAGTTTCTGTATCATAATGCATACTCTGTAAATGAATAGAAAAATTTTAATTTGTTCTAGTATTCCTAGTTGTACTACTATTACTGGATTTCCTACCTTGTGCTGTGGTCCACATTTTTTTCACCATAGGCAAATGTTTCCTGCTTTGTCAATTTTGATTTAATTCCTTCTCTGACTATTTCCATGTTTATTAACCTCATTATCGGATATGCTTTCTTCATCTGATTTTATGTTTTATTTTTCATCTGCAATTATATGTTTCTTAATAAAAACTGTTTTGTTTTTATATTTCATATGTGCAAAAGCTCAGATTTTTTGTAGTGATGTTTGTTGATCCAATTGTAATTATACTTAATTATACTTATAATTAAACTTCCAACTTCCAAATCATCTCCTGTCAAGTCAGGTCTCCAAATCATTTCATTTTTTTTCTTGACTTAAATAAATTGTGTCTGCTTCATCAGCCCTTATTGTTGGATCCAAACTTTTTCCCAATGTTACGTGTTTTTAATGCGACTACTGCCTCTACATTTAGATTATCTGGAAGTTCTACTTCTTTACAACCTTACTTTATAGAATTCATTGCTGATATCTTTCAACCACAGTTTGTTAATGCATTTTCAGCATCTGTCAGAACTTTGTATATATTCGGTAGTACAATTAGGATACCTTGAAATTCAAGTAAGTTGTGTCCTTT